TCACTGGCAGCTCTGTAAGTGCAAGTGATGAGGTCTGCCCAGGCATTGGCACAAAACACTTACTAGACAGCTAGAGAACGAGTGACCTGATCTGCAAGTACAAAACGTTTGTTTGCAGTTTGGTCCAAGTAGGTATTTTGACAGCACAGGCTACTAACTATATTTTTTCATCTGAGTTGTCACTGGACTCTTTTGGCTTGCATTGTATTTTCTTCTCAAGGAAAAGCTCTGTAAAAACTGTTCAAGCTTCACTGAGACATGTTAAAGAATTAATTACAAAGTAAAGCTGAAGGAGAAAATTAATTTTGGAAACACAAGAGGTTACTTTTCTTTTCCTCCCTTTTCTGGAAATGGGGGAGGAAAGGCAGTTATTTTCATCTTCTTGCTGGGGGCAGGAGCTGGGAGCTGTCCAGTCGATAACCTGGCCATCAGAACAAGGTTTGTAATTAAAAGGTCAGTGACCTGGAAAGCTAGGGCCCCACTCTCAGGGTCTCTCTGTAATGACGGTGCTATTAAATTAAGACTGTTATGAAATCAATGCTAAAAAAGCTTTCATGGTAACAAGATTCCATTCAAGGGCATGCAAACTGCCTCACGAAATGGACTTAAATTATAAAAAAGAAAAGTAATAAAAGAGGGTTAAATTGAAATCTGCTGCAGAATTTACTTCCTTTAAAGCCCTCCAACGGTGGGCTGTGCCTCCTTCTCTCAGGTCCTCAAGGTGATCTACTTGGGTTTCTTTGGCAAAGAAGGAAAGGGTTCAACTTCAAAGAATGCAGACTACAGAAAAAGGACAAAAATTAAGACAGTTTGCTACTGGAGATTTTGGGGCTGACAGCATTTGTTTCCAGGGAATCAAGTGTCTTTCAGCTCTGACTAGGAAGGGGTATGTACAATAGAATCAGTTATTCATCTCTTCAGAAATCACCATAGCCTAGCATCTTGACACTGGCAATATTTTCTGGAACTCAGATGCACTGCAAAAAACTGTAAGACCTACAGGAAAACCTTGTGTAGTAACTCACTTCCTACCAGCCAAAGCAATGAAACAGATCAGGAGATACAACATGTAAAAGGGCAACGCTTCCAACAACCTCTGATCCATCTCACCAAGCAAGAGCGCGACTGCTTTTGGAAGCAGGTAGCCCATTATGTTACATATACATATATACACAAAAGACTAATCCAGGTAGCATTATCTTCTGAAGACTGTCCAACCTTCTGGGTGGACATTTTCCCAATATAACTCAACAATTATACATTTACTTGCCCTAATGCACTTCTGTTCTCCCACCACTATAATTTCTGAGCTCCTCATAATGCTTTTGGCTGTTCCCACAGTCCCACTCTGGGAAGACATTACTATACTCATTTCACAGATGAAGAGAACAAGCAACTAAGAAAAAAAGTTTTTCAGCCAGGATTGCACAGTAAGTCTGTAACTTAGCATTTTTTTCCCTTTGCTGCCCCAAAAGACTAGCACCCCAAAAAACAGAGCTCCACATGTACAGTGCACTTCCACCCCCTTTCCCTATCTTGCCAGAAGTTACTCAGAGGACACAAAATTAACAAGCCACATGAGTTACGGGCTGGGTAACTGAGCAGTACAGGACATCTGAGGCACAACAGTTATATGACAGACACATTTCCACAAGGGTTTAAACCCCACATGCTGTCTAATTACTCCCAAGGCGCCGCTGATTCTGTGGCATGTCATCAGCAGAATCAGCGAGTTGGACAAAAAACAAACAGCATCTTTTTTTCCTTTCTTTTCTTTCAGATACTCTGAGGGGAAACAGCTGTTTTTCCCTTCATCTGAAGAAGTTCATGATAAAAAGGAGGAAATGTCATAAATTACACAAAATGCCAGTGTAAGCTTCAAAGAAAATGATAAATGATTCTAATAACTTCATGTTTCTCATTAATGCCTCTGTATCTGGGAGTTTAAAAGCGCTTAAGACAACAGAGAAATCTCATCCAACTTTTGAAAGACTTTTTACAAATGCAGGACACCCTCCCTCTCCTAACTGTCATCAACACATTCATCCCATGTTCCGAGAGAGCAGTTCAGCAAACCCCTGACCTGCAAGTAACCAGGAAAGCCTACTTGTAGCCTCTGCAACTACTGTTTCAAGAGAAATCAAACTCAGTCCAGCAGATGATCCTGAAGAAACTTTCATTTCTCACTGCACTGAAATGCATTAAACAAAACACAGTTCCGATATTAAATAGTAATTAATATTAAAAGGAAATAAAATTTGATTAGCCTTTTTTAGGCTTATAAAAAAGAAGAAAAAAATTGTAATTCAAGGCAGAACCATCTCTGCAAGTCTCAGAAGTGAAATTTCTTAGGCAAAGTCAGGATTGCAGGGCCTGAAAGCTCACCCACAGCTAATGCCCCGATCTTGTTCCTGTAGCCTGTGCAGGCTGTAGCTGGGGTAGCGGAAGGCTCCTGCAGGGGTAGGGCACCTCGTCTTTTCCCTCCACATTCAAGCACCAGGTGATGCAGCACCATCCTCTCCACTGCAGGAGTTTTTAAGTAGCCTGTGGGGAGCCACAGACCTCTCCTGTTTGGGTCCACAAAAGTAATTACAAAAGACAAGTTCATACATGGTGTACATCTACAGATATGAAAGTTCTCCTCCACCAAACTTCTTTTGGGGGTCCATAGAAAGATCTATTTCTGTTTGAAAAAACCTGGATCAGAGTAACTGTGCAAAAAATACAGGGGTACCTCCTCATTATTTCCTACAAAGATAATTTTGAAGAAGACTCTTGTAACTGAAAGGGTTTCTCTACAGAAAATGCTTTTTGACTGGCAGTGAGGACTTCTCTACCAGACAGCCTAACTATCTGTAAAACGGGGATAAACATTATCATTAGGATGACAATGACTGTTTATTAGAGAATAGGAAGAACAGCCTACCAATCCATGTAATCCCTCATTTACTCAGGACTAAACTAGCCACAACATCTATGTTTCAAGAATAATTGCCTCCATCTGCTAGAGCATGTAGGTACCATGACAGTATGTACCTTCTGCTCTCGAGCACTGAACAGAGGTCACGTTGTAAGCTCAGTGGTCAGAGTCCATATGGACATATCTCCAGGGACTGCTGGGTACAGGCACTACTGGACCCTGCTCCTTCCTATCTTCTACTGTTAAATTTTCAAACAAACAATTAGCACAAAGGGAATAATTAACAAATAGGAACAAACAAACAGCTCTACCAAACAATTTCTGCTCTTTAGTAATTATTAGCCAAGTAATTCATAAGAAGTATTAGTCGGGCCACAGTTTCTCTGTGCCTCCATCTCCCCACCCTTCCTCTTCTCCCAGTCAGGGATTTATTAAAATTAAACAGATTAGATGAAGCTCCTGATACTAAAAACTGTTCAGCGAAGCCTGCGGTGGGGAAGTGCAGAGCAAACACAAGAGACATTTGTCTCTAAATTGCTCTAAATACCTTCTGCAAATGAAATTCTAACCCAGCTGTGTTGAGAGAGAAAATGAGGAATAACTGGTCATTGTCAGCACAGAAGAATATCAGGCAGTTATAATATTGCACGATATACTGGGGGCTACGGATCTCTCGGCAACAATAGATTTTGTATCAGGTTACCCAGGGTAATCAGCACAGCTTTTAGGCTCAGCTTTCCCTTGCTTCATTGCTTCGATGATAGAGTTGAAATCCCCAAGCTTTTATGATTAATTACTCCCCGTAGGTCCACATATTTCAAGGAAAAACTCATGGAGCACAGCGGCCAACAGGCTCCAAATTTTAATGCCATCCTGATGGCAGGGCAGGGCAAGCAACATACCTATGTGACTGGAATGTTCTCTAACTGGCACTAGGACAAGCCATGAGAAGATCATGCTCAAAATGATGTACCATGAACTACTTGTCATGACATCATTGCTAAAACACAAGACTGCCATTCCTTTCTAGGTCCTTTGTTATTCAAGATGAGCAAAGTAGTGCATATACTTGAACTTTCCATCTCATTACATCAGGTGTCAAGCATCTCAATAAACAATTCATAACTCAAAAAGAACAATACATATTTCATAGGCTTCCTTACTTTTCAAAACTCAAGAACTTTAGCTATAGAATTTGATGTACCCTGAAGTACTTACAACTTAAATGTATAAGTGGGTCACTCCCTCCTGAAGTTGGGAGTTTGTATTTTCAGTATCATTCCAATTGCTAAAAGCACTCCATAGTGCATGTAATTAACTCCAATGTAAGATTGTCCTTATTATTTACATCTTGTGGTAAGAATCTAAGCAATATGGTCCCAGGAGGGTAGCATAATATGGAGCGAACTTCACCTGAAATGCACTGTAAGTTGTGGACTAAAAACTTTAGGGAAAAAAAAAAAGAACAAAAGATAGTTCTGCTGTGAGTCAGAAAGTAAAATAAATTCTCAGCAGGCAATGGCCAAAGTATGTTCCATCTGTCTAAGACGATATAGGTTTTGTCAGGGCCTCTTCTACCCCTGCTACAGAAAAGGGCTAATCTCAGTCAGTAGTTTACCATTTCAGCCTGAAAGTCAGGTTGACCCCAAGTTTGACCTTAACCTGACCTTGTTTACTTTCACCAAGTCCTTCGCCCTTCATTCCTCTCTCTGGCTCTCTTTGGAAACATTCGACCTTTTCACCTAAAAAATGGTAATTCTAAAACCATTGTCACTAGGTTAGAACTGACCAACTAGTCCACAACTCTAAACTGTCCTCATTTCAGAAAAGATCTGATAATTGTTAACCCAAAAATTTCCAATGCGTCTTCTGTATTCTACAATTCCACATCTGGTGCCAATATTGCTCCAGTTAGTTTGGGAGAAATGAGACTGATATTTCTTACAAACTTGCAATCTTTTTCTGTGACAGACTACGTGCTTTGTCCTTAACATCTATTTTTCCATAGGAATACATTTTAGCTTTATGCTAACGCAAGCTCTCTCATTACCACAGATATCACAGACTTTAGAGTCCATACCTTTCTTCTTCAGAAATGCTCTTCTGGTTGCAAGAGGACTTTGTCGGACTCGTGGATTCTGCAAAAACTTCACTGCTGTCAAAATCTGATGATGGTAGGAGGATTGGAGAAAGAGAAGAGAGAAAAGATCCAAGTTAGGAATGGTCAAATTCCCATTTTACATCATGCATTCTGTACGGCGAAGTAAGGCATAGCATCCAACACATGGAGATGGTCTGGAGCTGACACCTAGCCAACTTTCAGAAATGGTTCAATGAGCATCAGAGTTTGTGGCTCAACTCTAATCAGACAGCACAACCGTGGTATTTCAACCTGTAAGTTCCTTGTTGAATTACTCTTGGAGCAGCTCAACCCATACAAAAAAATTCATTAAGATTCTTAGGCATTTCTGTCATTTACATTGTGATCTTCTCACCTAAGTTGGCTCCTATAGTGGAGGGCAACCTTGAGACAATGCCTGTTGTCTATCTGTAACAGCAGGCTTACTAGTAAGAATGCTTCCTTTCTATCTGACTTAAAGCTCCCTGCAAATTCTAAGAGATTAAGGCCTTTTCTGCCATCATCCTAATTCACTGAAAGCCATAAATAAACCTTGGATTGTCATGAATGGAAAAGAAGCAGCTTCACCTATTTTGGATCACATAACAAAAATATCAAAAAAGTCACTTTTCATGACATAAATGGGTAGGCCAGTGGTTAAATTTATGACTTCTACAATAAACTGACTTCTACATCCTCCTTTAAGGTGACATAGCACTTAAAACAAACCACTTACTCAAACAAAAGGTAAAGTATGGGATATACTCAATGGCATCAATGACAATGGCACTAGTTCTTTACATTTCCATTAAATGCCAGTGAAACTTATGTGATTTTTTTCTTCATACAATAGGTTGACCTTCCACATACTCTCCTATACTATTCCACACACTCTCCTATACTATTCCACACACTCTCCTATACTATTCTACATACTCTCTTGTACTATTCCACACACTCTCCTATACTATTCCACACACTCTCTTGTACTATTCCACATACTCTCCTATACTATTCCACACACTCTCCTATACTATTCCACACATTATTACACGTTGTTGCACTAGTGATTCACTTTACTTTTATACAAAGATACCTGTTCTGACTGTGGTATCAGGGGGAAACAATATGCCTGAAGTTAACAGCACTCAGGAGATGGACACACCTATGTGAACTAGTGCAAAAGATCACTTCGCTCCTCTAGAGCTAAAAATAACCATGCATGTGCATGGAAGAGGTTTTTCATCCCAAACAGGGGCATAAGCTTTCTCCTAAAATGGTGGTATATGCTACACCTATGTTAGGTAGGTCTCCAAGAGTTTATCTTAAAATACGGATTCTGGAATTCAGTTTCAAAAAGGTTTTCAAAACTTTTCACAGCAGAGTAAGAAGGAAAAAATAGCATCACTACTGAAATCACTAAGTTTCACTTTGTGTTTGAATCAAACCCTTCGAATATGCATTTCTGGTCAGAGAGCAAAGTTCTGATGGGTTTAATGGCACTTTCAATGTACTCCTCAGTGCATTCCATCAATGTTTTTTTTCTTTTAAATTGCATCTCTTATTTCTTTAAATACATTAATCAGGCTAGTGTAGGCAAAACGGATCCATTGGACAATGCAATAAACATGAATTATCATCTATCCAACACGCATAATGGCTTAAAAATACATAATAGCAGGTGTAGTTTAAATGATTAGTTATTACACCTGTGGTGGGTCTGATTCAATTGGGGAAAATCATCTTTAATAGGTTAAAAGGTTTAGATCACCAGGCTTCCCTTAAAGTGGCTGTAGAGAGGGTATGATGGAGTACGCTGTCATTACTAATTCATTTAAGAAAAACATGGGGGATACAGCAAAGAACAGCATAAACGAGCGAATCCAATTTAAACATCAGGTAAAGCAGAAAACACCTTTTAAAAAAGCATGATAAATGAATTTGGAAGAGAGATGAAATTGACATATTTATTTTAACGGGAATTTGACAAAGTCCCAGCACACTTCAAAGTTGGAAGGATGAAATGAATGAGGTATTTTAAATTCTTTTCCTTTTCTTATTTTCCTTCCTTTTTTTTCCCCCCCTTGAAGTTTACATACAGTAATTTTCAACCATAAAATACTATAGCAAAATACTCCACAGAAAGTACACTTCGGTTTCATTTATGTGCACTTGATCTGTCTCCAGCTGAAGTGCAGGTGACAGGCAAATCACACATTTAAACTGTGCTGATATTGCTATGCCAGATGCAGAAATTTAAGGCGCCCAAGCTAATACCCTTAAGATATATGCTGAATAAGAGATGCCCAAACAAGCAGACCAACAGATATGTGAACATATCAAAACCACTTCCCTCCTAACAATAATTACTTGTTTGTTTCTTCAGAAACTCCTCAACACTCCCTCCTCCCACATTTAGTGAGTTAGAGACACAGACACAAAAGGCCTGCAGACCTGAAATTCTGCAAGATCTCATATTTAATTATCAGGTTTTAAGCATTAAAAAACCTTTAAGAGGGAAGCAGCAGTTTTCATTTTGCTATTTCAATCACAACCATGTGAACATTTTATTGATTCTAACTCTTTATTAAAACTTATTTTTGCCTTGTAAAAATGTAAACATTTCAGTAGTAAATTTCACTCCAAAATAAACTTCTATTTTATCTCTTCCCTGCATCACTTCCTCCATTATTCACAAAGTTTTTACTCTTAAAACAAAATAAAATTACAAGCAACAACAAATTTCATAAAAAAGAATCCTGGGCATGTATTCCTCCTCCCAATAATCCCACGTTTCTCACATCTGTGTTAGCATTTACCTCTGAACATTCTTCCTATAGGCTGAGCTGAAACGTCTTTATTTTTATAATTCATCTCATATATATGAGCAACTTATGAAGCAATTTTGGCCATGTCAAAATGCCAATATTTTTAACAAACATGCACAAGAACTTTCCTACCTTCTATGGATCATTTTCTTTGCACAAACAAGGGCAACTGCAGTCCATAATTTAAACAACAGAAAAAGGAGGAGGAAGATGAGAAGACTTTGCAGTCCTGTGTATAGCCAAAAAAATCATGCAGCAAATAGCACTCTGACTCAGCTAGTAACATTGTTCCACACTATTTCTGTACCATTTGTAATACTTCTCAACATTTTTATAGTATTAGGACACTGCCAAATAATGTGCATTGTATCACTGCTCTGATTCTTAGACTGCCAGCACACACTGGCCAGCAAACTAGTCTTATCTAGTGGATGAGGTAGGTATTTCTCTTAATGAAAGACAGTGTATTTGGCTTTTAAAAGGAAGTCAATTCCTTGCTATCCCAACACCACATGATACACAAAGATGTGTTTCTGACTGGGCGGTGGTGGGTGGAATCCTGCAGCAGGTCTTGTCCTACAGTTTTGATTTTCTAATTAGAAGATGAATGTAACTATTCAAGGATTATATTTGTGTCTGACCAAATTACATAAATTCAGGCCAAATATCCTGCTTCAATGTCAAAGATATAAAACGGAGACAGGAACTTTATTGCAGATGTTGTGGGAGTGCAGCAGGCTGGCGAAATTCTGGGCCAAAGCACAGCACTTTGACGTTATAGCCAAGGTCCCTCATTCCTGTTGTGTTAACAGGGAAGGTAAAACCAGCCTTATTTCTTATTATGCTCAAAGCTGCAGGTTTTCCAATGAAGCAATTTAAACTACTTTTTCAGTTACTAGCATTAGAAAAATAAACAATGAAATTTAAAATACTGTGGCAAATTGACACTTTCAATCATCTCAAAAAACCCCTCCAATCAATTAACAAAAATGTAAAAGAAAACCACCTTTGTCAATAGAAGTTCCACAGGATTCAGTAACAGAGTTCCACGTGGAAAAGAGAACCAAAAGCCACCAGGACTGCAGCCCGTAAGAGCTCTAATAGATTTCCTAATACTGGGAACCCTCTGTAGGTTATTACTGAACAGCATTTGTTGATAGACTGAGACTTTGAGATGACCTGTGATGTAAAGGTTGGGTCTGAATTATACGTTGCAAGGGACGGTATTTTGTCTTTCTGAGTGGATCTGTATCTGTTTAAATGCAACACTTCTTTTCATTAAGCAGAGGCGGCACAGGCCATGAACTATGCACAGACAGTTTACATTACATGTGCGGAAGCAATCAACACTGGCAATATACATGACGTATGTAAAAGAAGTTGGAATTAATTTTTTCCCAGTGTATTAAAAAATAATAATATGGCAGTATCAACAAACACTCAACCTATTTCAGCCAAAGCAGAAGGCCACAGCTATAGGGCAAATGGAACTGATCAATATATTAGCCTACAGCAACACCCCCTCAGTGTACGGCTGTATGTTTGCAAGGCTCAGAAGATTAAATTGTCTGTGAAAGGTTTCTGCACTCCTACTCTAAAGGAGATACCCAGAATCCTGTTAACAAGCATCAGGTTAAAGCCAACTTACGTTTTAACAAGGGCTGACTTAAAAGCCTGGCACGGCAACGAACAAGAAAACCCCTTCAAACAGAAATACTGCATTTTAGTAAGAAATCAGTGCTCTGCCAGGACTCACTTGACAAATACGGCTATCGGTGGCACACGGAAATAGTTGCAAAGCAGCTGTTAATCAGGGAAACACATCATAGAACGCTGATGCTAGCACTCATGAAAAAATGCAAGGGGCTAATTATGAAGCCATATATCTCACTAAAGAGGCACTGTTCCTTCAGATTCCAGGCAAAGCTCTCTCAGAGTCCGGGTCCTGGGACACTGCTTACACAAGCTTCCTAATCTCAAGACAAACCTTTTCCCAATTCAGGGTTCTGGGCCCCAGAATTCCTGTGAAATTCTTATTTCACAGAAACTGCTTGTTATTTCTAAAGAAATTGTCTGCAGGTCGGTCAGAAGAGAGGAAATACTTTAAAGCTGTTCTGGTTTCACTGAAATTTTTATGGAACCATACAGAACCCCAGGAATTATTTCTGTCGCGAGAGAACCTAGAAGCCTACAAAGTTTGGCTGATCTCAAAGTCATA